AAGTTTCGACTGTACAGCTTTAGGAAACCCTAAGCCCATTATTGAGTGGCGGAAAGATAACCGACGAATCACTAGCCAACGTTATACCGTTCATGAAATGCCCAGTGGCACCGTGCTCCGTATAGAACGTGTACGTTCTGAAAGAGACAAATCTATTTATGAATGCGTAGCGGACAACGGCGTAGGAGAGCCAGCTAAGGCAGCGGCGGAACTAAATGTCCTCTCTGGTAAGTTATTTTTTGTTAGGGATGTAGTGTTTAAAGCTCCAGTTTGGGTAGTAAATAATGTTGTTAGTGTTGCTACAGTGTTACTTGGTACTACGAGCTAAAGGTAACATATTATAACTTCAGTCATAACCAAATTCTATGTTTCCTAAGTACAGTTACAAACTTGAAGAATGGCTGTGATTTTTTAATATTTTCGAATGTCTCAAAGTGTAACTTGCTAATAATTGATATTAGGTGTGATATTACGTCACAGTAAAACAGGTAGTTATTTTAATCTCATCTTTCCCCAACTGGCCCATTAAGGGTTTTCATGGTTATTTTAGTCTATCAGCCGACGAGATTTTTACTCAATACCATCAGAACTAATGGGTTAAAAATACAATATGAAATGAGAAAAATTGAAACATCCGAAATGGGACAAGAACAGACACAACTTTTTCTATTTCGTCTACGCCAGCATAATTAGCTACTAATGATATCCTGTTTTATTATATATTGGGATGTCTTCACATTTTATCACTTTTTTGCAGTAGACGATGTACTAATGAACCACTATTAGATGTTTGAAACTCATATTGGCCCAGTAAAGAGAAGTTGGAATCATTATGAGTTTAATTCCAGCTAATGAATCATGCTTCGTCAACTTTAATATTATACACTATGAAATATTTGATAATTTTTTTTTACACTTTCTATAAAAATTCCAGGCTTAAATATGGCTTTGTAACCAAATTAACCATTAGGGGCGATGTTAACGTAAAGAAATATTTATGTAGAAACTGGAAGTAATAAATGTTTGTTGAACGACGTATATGGTAACTTGTTTATTTATTTACACTCAAAAGATGTGTTAAAAATATTGTCCTTTAAGATGTGATTTAGCTTATTTTTGAGTGGTTATACACGCGGTTTTTATAAATTGTATATAAAGATAAATTTGGTTCTGTTTTCTTTAGAGTTAGTTTTGTCCGTTATGTTTCTTCATATAATAATATTAACACTACAGAAAGTTACTGTTTAATAGTTGGTTCTGTTAATTTAAATTCATTCTCTACAATTATTTTAAGCTTTTTGATCGTCTATTTTACAATCAGTACTAAATCTCTCTACACGTGTATATTTTTGTACGATTGTAGACTTGATGATTTAGTGTATATGTTATTTTCTCTTTGTAATGAATGTGTCATCTAAATGAAAATAGCACTGATTTATATAATACTTGTTTAATCATTCATCATTATAGGTCGTTCTGGTAGCTGAGCAGTATCCTTGAGGGCTTGTAACACTAAAATTTGGGGGTGAGATCTTCACAACAGCCATAATGCCTGTATAATTTTATACAAAAATAAATACTTCAGTATATTAACTTAGTCAGTTCCAAGTGACATGGTGGATCGTCGTTGAAATGTTCGTACAACTGTAATCGTCAATTCACACAAAATCGCTTCAACATACTCAAAATCAATGGAGATTGAATTTTTTACACTAGCACTGAATGCTTTATAGGCTGTTCAGTTATTCAGACAGCTTTATTTCTGCTACATGCCTGGAAAAAACTCACCGGTTTCTTAACGTGTCACTCGTCAGGTACATTTGATAACATTGAATCGTGCAATTTCGTGCTTGCATACTTAACTGTTTAATTGCCCCCCAGTGGCATAGCAGTATGTCTACGGACTTACAACGCTAAAAACCGGGTTTCGATACCCGTGGTGGGCAGAGCAAAGATAGCCCATTGTGTAGCTTTATGCTTAACTAAACCAGAAACTGTTTAATTTTTGCCCTATAAATATATTCTGTTTAGTATATTTCTGCCTGTTTACCATATTACAGTTATGTCTTCTTTTCCCTGTGTTACTAGCATATTATTATATTGGTGGACCGTAGTTCGAGTACTTTAAATTGTCCATAATTATCTACTTTAATCAAAGAAAGGCTAAAATTTTCTAAATTAGAGTTATACGAGGTGATAGATATTGTTACTTATAGTTTGAAACCGTTTATAAGAGAATGTACGTTTTATAAGAGAGTCTTTTGTTTCTAATCTGTCTTACAGAAACGTAAGACTTATGTTACTTGATAGAATCGTCATACAGTAATTACCGATACGTAACCTGTTTTATACCTGTGTGACTATAGTTATAGTAGTGATCTAATGGAAAGTCACGTAGTTATAACATAGGTTATATATAGTATCTGTAATTACTGTGTGATGATCTTATCAAGATATGTTATAGAACCTGTGAGAACGTAAGGGTTCGTAACTTTCATCTTATTTCTTACTACTCTTTATTTAGTTTGCTTATTGAACTTGAAAGTGTGATCACACTTCAGCTGTTTGTGTAATAAATGTTATAGTTATGAATAAGTGTTAAATACCAAAAATGTTTTCTCAGTTTTTAACAATTGTTTATAAACTTATCTTTAGAACTTATTGTTGTCAAGGAACTGGTGTGTTTCCATTCTCCATATTAATTATTTTCAAGGTTTGTTTTCCTCTCAGAAGTCATTATTGTTAAAACATTACGCTGTTTTATCTCAGTAATCTTCAGAACTACAAGAAACATTAATAAATCAGTATCAGTATTATTGTTAATGTGACATTGTGGTAGTTAACTATAATGTTTCAACTTAATACTCACTTTTTCATTAGAGTTTTGTTATTAAAAGGAGTGGCCCAGAAGAAACAGATTTAGCTTTCTGTCATGTTTTGATAGTTTTTTTGTTTTATTTTTCTTCATAGAAGACACTATACCGCTAGGATTCCCACGGTTCACTATACACCCTACCGTGCGAGCAGTAGAAAAAGGTCGAACAGCCCTCTTATACTGTGAGGCCGAGGGTAACCCAACCCCTACTATCTACTGGTTAAAGAACATGGTTCCTGTTAACCTAGATGACCCACGGTTAAACATCATTCATGGTAGTAAGTATTAAAGTAAGTAATTTAACTGTTCTGGTTAAAGGATATAGTCCCTGTTAACTTGGCTGACCCACGGTTAACCATCGTTCAAGGTAGTAACTATTGATGTAATTAATTTATCTTTTAATGTATACTTTTGAATAGCGACATCTTTACTACAGTTAATAACAGTTTAAGATAATTCCATTCCCATGAGTTATTTTCCACAGTAATAAGTAAAACGTGAAAAATATTAATAAATACACTGGAAGCTAATAAACATTTCAGTGGTAGTTAAGTTATAACTTATATAACTTAGTGTTCATATGGTAGAACGTTTAACATTATAAATAATTACATGTTGTTATGTGTATGTACAACTATAAGTTGTCATTAACATGTCTCGAATTAAAATGTTCAACCATACGGTACCTTATGTGTTCATACGTTACATGGCCTGGTCAGAGATCCCATAAGGTTCATGTATAGTCATCCCTAATTTTGAACTATTGACCAGAGTGAAGAGTGCCAATTAGAACTACCCGCCACCACAAGAAATCCGTCCAGCACTATTGTACCGAACAAAGGGACTGACTACTACTTCTATAATGCACTTACAACTGAAAATGCGAAATGTGTTCAGCAGTAAAAGTGTTTCGAGCCTTGAATCCTTCGTTCGACAGCACAACCATCTTAATACCCAATCACGTATCTTAAAATTCGTCATTGATATGAAAAGAAAACAAAAGGTTATCACTACTATCACTGTTTACAACTTTTGTGTAAAGTGACAGCTGATAATATAAATACATCTAGATATATCAATAGTCAATAAACGACGACTATGGTTAATTAACATCTAGCTAAATACTAAAAGGCCCTTAATAATATATTAAATCACATTTTCAGGTTATCTCCAAATAAGCGAAGCAAAAGAAGAAGATGAAGGAACTTACGAATGTGTAGCAGAGAATTCGATTGGTTCTAGCTTCTCTGACTTGGCGTCGCTCTACATTAAAGGTAACTTATGGATAGTTTTTATTTGATTTTTCTCACAACCAGCTAAAGTTTTTGTAGATGAATTTGTTTCAATGCCAGTGTATATTTTTGTGAGCTGACATTTTGTGTAATAAAAAGGTTTTACCAGTTTCTCATTAATAGCACTTATTTAAGTACGTTTGTTCAACTTCCTATAAATACCGACTAGTTAATGTAATTGTATTGCAGATTAAAGTTAAAATTTCCCCTTGGACTCGTTGATCTTATTGTTCATTCCAGGATACTTAGATAGAGATTGGTTTTAGAAGAGCGAACAACAGGACGTAACGTACAAGATATAGTGTATATATAAAAGGAACAGATTAAGTCAATAAACCGTCACATCTTCCTCTATTATCTTCGGAGAACATTGAAATTCGTACATAAATTACATTTTCAGTCAAATATTAATACAAGAACTATACAAGGTTGTATTTTACGTTGACTAAGAACGTGTCTTCACACATCGCTAGTTGAAAATGGACGATTTTTTCGTGTTAAAACGCTTATACTTCTCTTTATATGTGACTATCATAATATATATATATATATAATACATCTTATATAGACGGTATTGAACAAAACTACAAAACTAATTCTTACATTTGTTTAAAAGTGATCGTTTCACATTCATGTATTGTAGCAGATACATAAAAACGTGCTGTATAGGATAGTATATCAAGGAGATGTTTTTAATGTGTTAAAATACCTATACTCATCTGTATATAATATATATATACTAGGAAACGTCATAATTTAAGTAAATGACTGCTAGAAACAATCGAATAAAGCTTATTTGCTACATCTTGTTACTATGGAAACTGGTATTTATTTATTGTTCCTTCCATTTCACAAACAGTGCGCCGTGTTCCTCCTTACTTCTCTATACCCCCAGAACCTGTCTACGAAGTGATGCCAGGGTCGAACCTGAACCTAACCTGTGTGGCAGTAGGCTCCCCCTCACCGTATGTGAAGTGGAGAAAGGGTTCTTTTGATTTGACACCCGAATACTCTGTTCCTGTAGGGAAGAACGTTCTGCAGTTAAAAAACATATGGGAATCTGCTAACTACACCTGTGTTGCATCTTCTAAGTTGGGTAACATTGAAAGCGTCACAACAGTTCTGGTAAAGGGTAAGATTAAATATTTGATTCATCTCGTTTGTAATATAATAGTATGTTCTAATTTCTTATAAGTTTTAATAAATTCTCACAGTTAAGTCCAACATATTATCACCTCATTTTGAGTAAATATCTTATCTGAGTAGCATTTAGTAATTAAAATCAGTTTGGAATTATTCAACTAGGATATTAAGTAGATTACCTATGCTAAATACTACTTTGTATAAAATTAACTAATTTCTTCTATTGATATGGATAATTGATTGACATCGTTTCTTTGAACTAATACCTACAGAAATTAAATATTTCAAATTACATTAATACATCTGTAAGACAATCGAAAGTTCTCAAGGAAAAATAAAATATTCCTTTAATCACGGTCTAATAAACTTCAGCTCCGAAGAAATTATCTAAACAGTGTTTAATCTATCCACGTAAAAATTAGTGGATATGAATGCTTTGAACCCACACCGTTTGTTACTTTAAATTTATCGCCATCTGACGGTAAATTGGAAAGTCTTGTAAATTTTTCCACAAATAAGAAAAATTAAATAGTGTTTCGATTAAAGTCAATAGTTCTGACAGTTAAATATTAAAGTTTATATAATTAAGTTTAAAGATATATTGGATAATAGATAATGTGTTTTGAAATATAACTTGAAGAGTGCAGCACAGAGTTTAATGTAGCTTAATTAGATAGCCTGATTCATATTTAGTGTCACTTTTCGTCAACAGTTCTAAAATACAAATCTAATCCATAAAAATATACATATGTTTAATTTTTTAATATTCTAAGTGGTACCAGAGTGTATTGAATTTACCATATCTAAAGAGTTCCTCATCTCACGAACATTTGAGACGTTACAAAGTACATTCTTTTCCTTTGGACAGTGGTAGTTTTAATTAATTTAACACATTATTTAATAAGGGAATCTACTTTAACACAGAGATGTTTAATTCACGCGGTTTTCTTAGCACTACCGTTACTCTGTTTATTTGCCCCTTAGTGGAACCATCAGGAAAAAGCAGTAAGTTTTCCACCTTCTCCTCTTTCAGTGTCACTCTTTTTCCTATAATTCTAGTACTTCTGTCTCTCAGCTCTTTTGAGTTTTTACTTTTATTGTTACTGATACAAAATATATTCAAGAATATTCTTTGTGATAGTTATGTACATGTTATTGTTTGTATAATATATTAACACCTGGCATTTCTTTTGATGATATGTGATAAAGGTCCAAGTAAAACATGAGTTTGAATCAGCATTTCAAGTAAGACAAAATGTTGATAGAAACAACAAATGTCACCACTAAGCTAATTTATATTGTTAGTTTAAAAGCACATGAAGTGAGTTAGCGTCAACTAAAAATTTAATGATCTATTTACAATGAACCATCTTGAAATTCCTAATAGATGATGTTGATACAGTCTTACATATTTTCACACAAAACTAGAATCCCACATTGCAAGGGTGGAGTGGTCAGTGTAGGCGCACAAAATTGAAACTAAGCGGAAAACGACCACCCAGAATGAACGGGGGTGCTCTGATTTGAAAACGAAGCACACTTGTGGGGTGCTGCACTAATTCTGGAAGAGTTATGCCCTTCGCCCTGGACGTAGGAAATTAATCTGATACGGGCGGAAAAATTGTAAGTTGTTTTGAGAGGTGCAATGTACATTCACAGCCTCAACCAGACAGACGAGGCTCCTTAACTCGTCTTAGGCATTAGGAGGTTAAGGATGAAAAATAAAATATTGAGGAAAAATTTAACATCAACATAGTGACGAGAGCATGTGAACTGTGTTATATATATATCTACCCAAATCATAAGTAAACAGGGTTTCAGACGTCAATCAACTGGAATTACAAAGATGTAGTGAGCTATCGGCCGAAAGTGGACAAACTCCCAAAACAACCATAGGAGCAAGAAGTACAAGAAACCGAATCCGGCATTATGGGGTAGTGACGTTACCTAAACTCAGTTGTAAGAACAGGGTAATAATGAGTAGGACATGTAACATTCGCTCCGTTTCATATTTGTAAGTACTTTTTAACTAGGTATGTTTAGATAGTTTGTACATTACATATCATTACTACTAATAATATATAATTCATTGTTCAAACGGAATAAATTTTTTGTTCGTGATTGTTAACAATGTGCCTTATAATCCTAATTTTCGTCAGTGTAAGATTTAATTTTCCTTTGCTTTGTTACACCGCTAACGTGTTCGGTTCTTTCCCATTCGTAGGGTTGAGCTTTGCTTTGACACTAGAGACCTCATTTTCTCCTCATAATTTACAATTCGGAGTTCTTCCCCACAGTGGCCAGTTCGTCGACAGTTATTTATTTCTCTAAGTAGAGTTTTCTTAGCTCTTTGATAATGGGATCCAACTTTGTGGCGGGTGTTCAACTATGGTTGAGTTTGTGAGATTTCGTCTGCCTTACAATACTCGAAACAAAACACACATACACTGTTCCTAATGTGGACAAACCATTGAATTTTACCTAGTCTACAAAATATGTTATAACACCAACGTGTAAACCAACGAAAATTATCTAGAAAACCATTAATAATCAATATCTAACTTCAATTCCTCGAAATGAATTAATTTTTACACTGACGAAAATTAAAATGGTAAGGCACATATTTAACAAGGACGAATAAAATACTCAAATAGAACAACGAATTATATGTTACTAGTAGTAATGATATGTAATTTACAAACAATCTAAACATACCTAGTTAAAGTACTTATTAATAACGAATTACAAAACCCATGAAATTTGCCGAGTTTACAAAGCATATAATGTTGAAAAGTGCAATATGATTAAATTTACCTAAACAAACAAAGTAAAAAATAATATCTAACTTACAGTTCATCTAAAGTAACTTAGATGACAAAGGACACATAAATATCTAACTTAAAGTCCGAGCACTGATGACGTTTTTTTATCTAGTGCTATCAATGTAACGTTAATTAGATGCTGTGATTTCTAATCAGAAGGTACTTGTTCACATCAGTTTTGGATGTGTGCATGTGCCTTGTATATTTGGAAGTATATTCTAATCTAGTTCTGTTAGTATTTCATTGGCTCTTGTATGTTTTATATATCAAACAAGGCTAATTTTGAACAGAACCATAAAGTGTTTATCAGTATATATATATACATATACATGTGTGTGTTTGTGTGTTCTAAGTTCCATATATTACATAATCGTTTTGTACAATTACTCTAGGTATGGTTTGGATAACTTGCAATATTTTTTGTGATCATGAAGCATCAAATTCTTGCTTTTTTTCTGTCCTAAAGAATCTGATAGTGCCCCAAGGAACGTCCAAACTTGTTCTTTAAGCTCGAATACAGTAGTTATACAGTGGGACCCTCCTAAAGAACCTAATGGAGAAGTTACGGTAAGTATAAAAGCTTATGAATTGATCATAACATCACATGATTATAATGATAGCAAATAACAGAGGATTTAACATTATTATCCATCTGATGATGAACGCTGTACGACTTACCATCAGGGTCTTAAGTGGTGCCAGGAACTAGAGGAGGATGTTTGGAGGTTTACCACTGTGATCTTATTGATTCTAATGTTTAGTACTGTTAGGGATCAGTTGTTATAATAGATTATTACAAGAGTTGCTATTGTATTCCTTGTTGTACCAGGGGTAAAGATCTTACTGATACAAAGTATCAAGTGCAGGAGAGTAAAATGAAAATTCTTCTTAAAGCATTATTGATTTACTGTGGCCTCTCAAACTGAAAAAATTCAAAACAATTTGAATGAGAAATTATATAATTTTAGAGGAAGTGTATCAAATTAAAGGATATACTTTCATAAAAATCTGTATTGATTTACTACGTACACCATTTCATGTATCACTAGTGATACTAATACATCACTGTTTAAAGGGCTACAAAGTACACTTTAAAACACTTCCCAATCTTCCTACAACCAACTGGAACACCCAAAATGTTGATAGCGGTACATTTACAACAATCAGTGATTTGACACCTCAGACCATTTACACCATCCGGATCCAAGCACTTACCAGCAGAGGATTTGGTCCATTGTCTGCTCCTGTACAAGTAGAAACTCAAGAAGGAGGTATTTATGCATACTACTCAAAATAATTATGCAAATAAAAATACTGCTATATAATAATATAATTTTTGTTGATTGTGTCACTATAATGTGTAAATATTTATTGATATTTTTTAATATCACTGCTCTTATATAAATAGTGCCAAGTCAACCCTCAAACTTACTTACCAAATCAATATCACCCACGACTATCCAGCTACAGTGGAGCCATCCAGAACACTTGGGCGAGAGTGTTATTGGTTATGAGTTATACTGGAATGACACTTTTACCCAGAAGCAGGACCACCACACCATTCCAGCCATCAATTCCTACACTCTTAGCAACCTATACCCAGACACAATATACCAGATCTGGGTGGCAGCTAAGTCAAAACATGGTGAGGGAGCTGCCACCCCACCAGTCAGTGTAAAAACTGACCAATATTGTAAGTCCAACTTAATTAAAAATCAATTCTCTTTAGAATTAAGGAACGCTAGTGATTCCTTCCTGCAAAAGTACAATAATTCATTTTAGACATGAACATTGCACTAAATTTTATGCATAAGTTAACATATTGTACAGTAGAGTAATCATGTCAGTGTATTAAAACATATATTGAAGTGAGGTAACTTGTGTTTAACACTAGTACTGCATATTTTACAGCCAGGTTTTCGAAAAAGCCTTATATTGTCATTATGTTTGTTTATTTGCTGTAATTTCTCAGCTTATGTATACAAAGATAATTGAAAATAATTTTCTTCAGAAAACTTAACCCTCCAATAGATTACAATCAACACATATGAAGGTTAGTGTGCATCTAGAATCTTTGGTTCATATTCTGACTGCCATCCTCATTTGTCTGGACAATTAGTGGTGTAGAAAGTGGAACATCATCCACAACAGTACAAAATATAGTACTTTGTCCATTTCTCAAGTCCATCAATGATAAAATAACAATTATCAGGACCTGTCTATATATATGACATGCCTTTTGGGGGTCATTACAAGTGCTGGCATTCAGGTATTTGATTTTAAGGTAGGTGATTTGACCATGCTACTGATAGAAAAAAGGAGAGATTTCTTAAACTAACTTTGATGATAAAGTTTAAATTGTCTTCACACTATACAAGTATAGCCAGAGTTTGTTGACTGCTGGAGTAAGTATTCCTGAAATTAGAAGACTTACAGTGAAAGAAAGTATTAAATCTTCATAAACAGTATCTTCATGAATTAATGGCCCGACATGGCCAGGTGGTTAGGGCGCTCGACTCGCACTCTGAGGGTCGCGGGTTCGAATCCCCGTCCCACCAAACATGCTCGCCCTCTCAGCCGTGAAGGCATTATAATGTGACGGTCAATCCCACTATTCGTTGGTAAAAGAGTAGCCCAAGAGTTGGCAGTGGATGGTGATAACTAGCTGCCTTCCCTCTAGTCTTACACTGCTAAATTAGGGACAGCTAGCGCAGATAGCCCTCGTGTAGCTTTGCGCGAAATTCAAAAACAAACAATCATGAATTAATCCTAATAGTAACTATATAATCAATAGTACTGTTTTTCTTGTTTTATTAAAACCTTTGTTGGACTGTAAGTTAATGCTCACTATTCAAACACCTTTGTTGTTGTAGTTTCTCTATGAGACACACTATAATACATTTCCTACTAAGTCACTATGACCCAGGTTTGGTTCTGTTTTGTTACACAGTTATCAATTTTCATCTGATGTGCAGTTGTTTCAAGCCTCTCTTCTCTTTACAGCTCTGTTCATTGAAATCAAACTGTTCTCCAGGGATTAACTACTTCTTTCTTTCTCACATGTCTTCCTCTAACTATTCCATATTTTTTTCTCTTGCCAGATATTTCAATTATCAACAAGGTGAACTACATGATATAAACTCACTTGTTATTAGTATGTTGAAAGTTTGAATTCAATTGAGTATGATGTGTAGTTTATTCAATGTTCCATAACATATTTTTCAGTGAAAGTATTGTAACATACTGCTAGTGTAAATATTTAAACCTTAAAAAAGAAAGAAAATTAATTTTTTTAAAAAAACAGCTAAACTTCAGGAAGAGATGTAACTTGAAATATATGTAAACACGAGGGTGGGAAGGAAGGTAAAAACGGCTCTAAGTTATATACCTGGAAATAACATTAAAAAAGGATAGTTAGAGAAATATTTGGTTTAAAAATAATCTGAATATTTCAGTCTATTAAAAAATCATGTTTGGTTTTGTACCTGCTGTTTTGTTTAATTTTATTAGTATTTTTAATATCTGAGTTGATGAGTTAAAAACAAAACAAAGATTGATTCCCAGCACTGGTATTTTTATTTTCACTGGTTTCAAATTAATGTATTAATTAATTCATTGTTTTCACCTCTTCTGTATTTATGTTATTATAGTCAATAATACAAATAAAACAGTACCAACCAATTAAAGCATTTTTAGGCATTAATTGCTACTATAATAGAATTTCATTTTACAATAAAAACTGACTCCAATAATACACACACTTTAAATTCTCAATATTTATCCTGAGTGTAGATAGAATATAGAAGAGTGAGTTTACAATTTTTATATGAGAAATCGTGTTTTGGTCATCAGCTTTACATGTTTTAGCTGCTGGATATTAGTTTTGTTACCAGTAAGAATGTGGAAATACCGAATAAATTGTTTCACTTTGGTAAAATCACAATAATAAATTATTGTTCTCCCGAAAAAATACTACCATAGAAACCTAGAAAAGAAAACTGGTGTTCTGAAAGTTTGTTTCTTTCTGGTTACTTGATATTTAAATTAACTCGTCTCAATGAAAGTGTAATTATGCTTCATCTTATTACTGTTTCAAAATTTGCATACTGAACTTTTGGTACTTTTTGTTCACTTAGTATATTCACTAACCTAGAAAATGACTCACAATTAAAAATGTAATAGCTATATATTTCCGAACTTATTGATACCCATAATAAAAGTTTGAAAATGTAATAATGGTTTATTTCATGATATATAAGACTGTTTAGTTTAGATATTATTGATTAGTATATTTTTGTGAGTGAATATGTTATTATTGTTTAGTTTTTGTTATGATAAGAGTTAAAAGCAGACAGTTGTTGGAAGTTCTGTTAATAATTCATTTATGATGAGACTATTGAACATCACGAGCCATACACTGACGTCGAGAATATAGGAGCTGGACAAACGATCAAGTGATAAAGATATTGTTACCTATCTGCTTGTTTGTTAATTTCCGGTAGAAATTCTTTCCAAAGAACTTCAGCGATATAAGTCCTTTCTTGATTAAGCCAATTTATTTTTTCTCCATACAAATTTTTAGTACACAGTAATTCCACAGTCAGTACGTTTCTCGTCATTTTAAACTTAACAACTTTT